TAAGTATCCATGAGCTGTTCATCTTTAATTTGATCAAGATTGAGTTGAACACCAGCAAAATATAATGCTACAGGACTGCGAATGTCGGCTGGATTTATCGTAAGAAATATACTCGGTAAACCTTGATTAAAGATAAGTGCATGTATACGAGTACGTAAGGCCGTTCTTGAATATGCTGATCCCATAACTCGACCACCAACAGTTTTAATATGTTGTAAAAGTTTATTTAATGCACTATTTGCTTCTGTACAACTATACCCGTCAATTAAAAGCACTAAAATGCGACTATATTCTTGGAGTGGATATAAGTTCAGAAATGATCAAACTAGCTCGTAGTATCGAGGATCAGAATCCGCAAGACATTGCTTACAGGGTTGCCGACGTTAAAAAGCTAGCCTACACCTAAACAACCTCTCGACTTAGTCACTGGATTCTTTTTACTTCCTTATGCACAAACACGCGATGAATTGTTAGAAATGGTGCGCATAGTTTTTAGCCAGCTCGGCGAAAACAAACAATTTATTGGTGTAATAGGCATACCAATGTCAGGCAAGGAGGGGATTGATCATCGAAAATACGGCTTTACGAAATATACGACAACTACTTCTCCCGATGGCTGCATCCCAGATGGTGCTGAATTCACTGTTACCCTTTACAACACTGATCACAAAGAAACATGTAAATTTACGGCTTATTATCATTCACCATCAACTTATGAGCAAGTTTTCAAAGAAGCACGGTTTAAAACGTTACAATGGGTGCCTTATAAGCTAGATCCTAATGTGCCTATCAAGGAATTTTTCGATGATTTTTTTAAATATACACCTGCAGTCGGTTTGATATCAACAAAAAAATAGCCAACTGCGTAACTTATTATATTTTCTAAATAAATGATATATCCTTCTGTTTCAAGTATCAGACACATTTTTGTGTATCCAAAGCTGTGTACACTATTATAATGGGCTAGTGTGTCTGGTCAGTCGGTCTGCCGTTTACACAATAACTTCCGACAGAAGAATCAGATACAGCTGATATTTTCTCAAGGAGGCGAAAGCGGGACTTCTGAGCCTCTAAACTACAAAAGAAGTTCAGAAGTACCAAGTCTGCCCCCCCCCCCCTGTATGTTCTAGACGACATCATCTCACTATACATTCACTTCCCATGCCAATGCTGACCGTCTTACTGTCCTTCCTGGTTCCTTGAGCCTAGATAAATACTTAGGCGTATCCAAAAATAATATCACCCAAACACAATTTCTCTGATAAAAGCTCGAAAGAAAATTCTTTTCTACAGATAGATAGAGAAGATGAAGCTCTTTTTTTCTATACTATTTGATCTCAGTTGAGCTAAATATAATAGTAATAAATTTTTGGTGCGAACTGTTTTCCGTGTGAAGCTTAACTAACGAGCAGCCCACGATGAATCTCAGCGTCCCTAAAACATTTAATTAAAGACTCCGTATATAACAAAAGATGCAGTATGAGAATTTCTACAACCCACAAAGGAAACTTTATTTTAATTGTATAGTTTTTGTGTCTGAAATATGCACAATCCTATGCCACCAGTTATGTTTTTTGCGAAAAATCATCTCTTTCACTAAAAGTGAGAAACGTTTTCCCATTAATTTATCTTTTGGTGATTCAACAAGTTTTCTTACAAAGCGAAATATATCAAAAGATGTAGCGTGAAAAGTTTCAGAATCTACAGAGAATAGTTCAGTTGCTTTGCGTACTTTTTGTTTTCAAACTTCAGTGATATCAGCTTTCATAATTGCGAAAGTAAATTACACGGAATTATTCTTTCTTTGAAAACAAAGGATACACAATAAAAAAAAGTTGTTCTTTGTAAATTGTAGACTTTTCCACGCTGCATCTTCTTATCCAAGAGATTTCTAATAAAGAGTACTAGAAGAAAAATTGAAACACAAAATATGGTTATTTGTGGTATGCTATTCGTTAGTTAAGTTTTACGCAAAAACAGTTCGCATCAAAACTTTATTACTATCATACATTCAGCTGAACTAAGATCAAATAGTATTGAAAAAAAGAGTTTCACCTTCTCTATCTTTCAGTAAACGAAGAATTTCCTTTTGAACTTTCATTAGAGAAATAGTGTTTGGGCGACATTACTTTTGGATACACCAAAGTATATTTAATGTATGATGAGTTAGATAGAGCCCGGGACGATCTGGTTATAAAGGGGGGTAAAAAAGTTTAAGGAACCTTCTTTTTGTATTTTTCCCAAGAAAAGTAATAGCTGGAAG